GGACACCTGGGTGGCTCAGTCAGTTGAGTGTCTGCCTTCAGCTCAGGTCATGATCCCAGGGTCCTGGGATTGAGTCCCGCATTGGGCTCCCTGCTCAGCGGGGAGCCTGCTTCTCCCTCTCCCTCTGTCTGCTACTCCCCCTGCTTGTGCTCTCTCACGCTCTCGCTCTGTCTCTCTCTCTCTGTGTCAAATAAATAAATTTAAAAATTAAAAAAAAGAGTGGGAGATGGGCATATGGACAATTGTTAATCAGTTACAGAAAAGTCTTGAGGTTTTTTTTAACTGGATGAACACTATTTAATCATATGACTGTAAAGTTGCCCATGTTTGTAATTAATGCAGTAAATTGTTATTATCAGATACTCAGGCTTTGAAAATCTGATGATCTGGAGGAGTAGACCTTGCTCTGACTTGGGCAGAGGTTTATTTTTCTCACCTAGCTAAAGGCTGATGTTAAATGTTTAAGAATATGGATAAATACAGAAAAGACAATAGCAATAAAGAGACCAACCGTCTGAATTATGGGCTGGTTTACTACAGAATAATAAACTAAGAAAGAACCCTCCTTCAATCCTCCCAGTTGCCATGAGCTGAGCAGCGTAATGAACTCAACTCCATGCACTTGAGATAAAGAGAAATGAAACAAAATTAAAATAAATCTTCTACATTACAAAATAAAAAAAACCCTCACATCCTTATATCCTACTTTAGTTCAAGAGTGGGTCTTACTGATAATAACCTGAGACTATCACCGGAAACATGAACGTCACTACGGGGTCCTGGACACCTTTCTCACTTCAAAAGGAATCAGGGTGGGGGGAGGGCAGGGCATAGGTAATAGACCCTCCAAACTGGCCCTTCTCTCTCCAACCTCTGTTTCTCAGTTCCACAAGTCTGTCAATTTACTCTTCCTAAAATATCAAGTTCATCCTGTTACTTTATACCTCAAAAGTCTTCAATTAGTTTTTATTTCCTTTTAAAAAACAATTCAAACTCCTCAGGCTAATTCCTTGCTAGTTCAAGATTCCCTAGATTCTGGTCTTATCTGTCTTACATGAATTCTCCAACCAAACTAACCTGCCATTGTCCCCCCAGAAACTCAACCCGTGGTCCTGCCGCAGTGCCTTGTCTCATGTGAGCCCCTCCCTGAAGGCTCCTCCTCCACTAGTGGCTTCATCCATGACCTTCCTGCTCACAGGAAGATCATATGGAGTTTAAGTTTCTTGGGGATCTAGGCTGAACGTGAAATCCTTGTGTTTCCCACTGTGTGGTGTGGCACTATTCACACAAAGGCTCAGGAAACATAACTGAATGAACAAGTAGAAGAGTGAGTGGACAGAATCAAATCCGAAGTTGGAGTGATTTTTGGAAAATAGATGTATTCATTGGGATGCTTTTAACCTGCACTCAAACTTCCTTACACAATAAAGAAATGTGCTATTTCTTATTATCACACATAACCGGAAGCCCAGTGGGAGGAAGCTGCTAAGTGACTCAGCACTGCCATCAGAAATGCAAGCCTCTCTTACCTCCCTGTCCCACTTCCACTCTGCTGGCTTCATCCTAAGCAGGTGACCCGTGGTTATGAGATAAAGGCCAGCAGCGACGGGGCCACGTGTGTTTTTGTTCGCACCTGGCGGGAGACAGCATGCCTCCCTATACACGGCCCAGGGGAGCGCCCTGGGCCAACCAGCTTGGACTACACTTGGGGGCAAAGTCAGTGCCACTGAAGACATGTGGACTGCCCTGGTTAGTTTTCTAAGACTAGATAGACACGCTTGCTAACAAGTTGTGTTAGCAAGAGGAAGGGTGGTGGTAATTAATGTTCAGTCAATAATATATAAGTCCCTAGCAGGGCTAGAAAGGAAATCACAATGCTCTGACATGCATTACCTCGTCAAATCACAATGGCTGTGAGCTAGGCATGATTGCTCCCACTTCACTGAAGAGGAAACTGAGGCACAGGTTTTAAGCAATAGAGCCAAGATTTAAAATTTGGGATCCTAATAACTTCATGGTTGAAAAAATGACCTAACTAGGAGGCTGAAGAAAAATGTTACCCTAATACAACTCTCCTATTTACCAATGGCAGGAGCCAAGAATTCCTGCTATCAACCATTCCTTAAAGGAGAAATCAGCACCACCACCCCACCCACCCCACCCCCCAGTAAGCAAAAATATAAAAGTTTTACTTAGGAACACTTACTTATTATTACTTGACATGCCTGAAATTAGGTAATCAGATTAAAAATTACTTACAAAAAAATGAATAAATGGGGACTCCAATAAAACTAACTAGGTCCCAGGCACTATCCTAAGCACATCTCATGTATTTTATCATTAAATATTCACAAAAACCCAGTGAGGTCATACTAACCCCAATGTACAGACTGAGAAAGTAAAGCCCAAGGAGGTTAAGTAACTTGCCTAAGGTTAACCAGCCAACAATAAGTAGAACTAAAATTGAACCCTTCCTCTTAAAACCTATTCCATATCCCCTCCATGCATTAATAATTCTTATATCTGTTATCTCTATCAGAAACCGAGAAATTTATTCCTAATTTGCTTGGAATCCACGGCAACAATGGGCCACATCCTCTGTTCTTCCTACCCCTCCAACGTCCCTACTCCCACCTGTCCCAGCAAAAGAAAACGAAGATGCCAGGTATAACCCCTCTAAACCAGGTAAATGTGTTGGAACATTTGCTTAGACCTCCAAAGCATGCATTCTCAAGGTAGGAGACATCACCTCTAATGGGGCACAAATTAATTCTTTGAAGCCAAAGAACACAGATACTATAACAGTTTGTGGCCCTCCAAAGCCCAGTGCTACCATCAAAAGCTTACTTCTCAGTATTTCATTTCCCTCGATAGGGAGAATTTTAATAATTTTTCTCCTACGGGAGATGATAATGAAAAAAAGTGGTTGAAAATCCACTGGGAAATGAACCGAGATTGAGAATGGCCCCAGGGGCCCCACCTGCACCCACATTCCTTCCCTGAATCTGGGCAGTGTTGGCTGCTAACCGGGTGGAGGGTCTTTTCCAACCTCCCCGATTATTTGCAAGAGTACAAATGCGTTCTTCACACACGAGTAAGTTTATATGTATGTTTCCAAAAACGAAGAGTTTTGGAGAGTCCATTTGGAGAATTCTTAGTTAAATGCAGTCCAGCTGCTCTCTCTGCCGCAGGACCCACCAACGGGCACAGTGACTCGCTGAGAAGTGACCCAGACACAGCCCAGAGCTTGGCTATCTTGCGGCGCCTTCTGGGATGGGGCACACTTTGGGAAATGCTGCTTCAGACAACAGTCACCAGCACCAGGGCCCGCCCAGCACTCAGGATGAGGTGGGAGCAAGAGAAATCCGTGCTGATTGCATTTACTTCCTTGCCTTCTGAGTTCAGAATGTCCTGATGCTCAGCTCGGCTCCAACCAGACCAAACCTCAGAAAAAGCTATGCAATAGAAAAGTAGAAAGAGAGAAACATCTGTCTACATGTTTTTTGTCCCCGTTGCAATCTATCCGCAGCAGTGTAACCCATGCATCCCTCCTCAAACACATACTCTGCCTGCTGCTAGTACATTTCGAAGGGTTTCAGGGAGTGTCAGTGAGGATACGCGGGTTGATTTATTCAGCAGGAACGTGGTTACAGACAAGAAAGACGGGAGAGGGGAAAGACACAGAACTCTGCCAGGAATTCCTCCTGCGAAGGGAATCTGCTGAAGAAGATGAGGAGAAACGGGAGAACGCGAAGATGGGGTGCTTCCCCAAAGTTGCAGGGAGTCAGCAGCAAGTCTGAGCACACAGCCCCAAGAGCCAAGTGGGGGCACTCTCTGCCCACCCGCACTACCTCTCACAGCCAGGGGTTCTTTTCATGGCATGCACTAAAAGAAAATACTCCAGAAGAGTGAAATTGCCTGAGCGCCAGCAGCCTTTATAAGAATTTCTGTGCAGCACATTTTCATTTCCTCCACATGGCGGGACCACCTTCTTGGTTCCGATTTCACCTGCACGACCCTAAACCACGGACACTTGCTGTAACAAAGTGTTTCCAAGCTGGGATTTTGGAGGAGGCCTACAGGCTATCTTTGACCACCTCCTCGCTTTCCCCTTCTGAGCCCAGTGGGTTTTTTCGAGTGCAGGCATTTAGTTTGGCCCTAGCCTGGTGTCCACACGCACCCTTGACTGATGAAGCTGACGTATGTCCAGCACGATTTTTTTTTCTTTTGCTGTCACCTAAGGATACCTGTACTGGATTCTTCCTGGCCAAAGATCTTAACCTCCCTTGTTTCAGAAATTGCACCCAAGGCTGCAAGAACTCCTAACTGCACAGCATCTTGCTTTATTTATGTGGTGTTTTCCACAGACCTCTATAAAACTCAAACTCAAATTTTAGTTTCCATCTTTGGGACCATTAAGTATTTTCATCAGAGATCTTTATTTTACTTAGTGCTTCTTTTTTTCTTAGTGCTTTCTTTTAAAAAAATTATTTTGGATGTGTGCTTACGGGCAAGGGCAGGGGTTTTGAATGATGTTTCTTTGATTATCCCACTTAATCAACAACCCCAAATGTCACCCCAGAGCATCTTATGCATTGCTAAGCCATGTGTTTGCAATCGGCAGTTGCTCTTTGAGCCGGGCCAGCATGTGTTTTTGGCTTTTGAATTCATTTCAGCAACCTTGAGAAGGCACAGCATAGCTGGGCAGGAATTTGAATGGTATTAGCTGCATTTGGAGTCTATAGAAGCCAGATAACCGTCCACCCATCTGTCTGCTCCAGGACGCCCATTTGCACTTGTACACCAATCGCTCACTTTGTTCTGAGCCTCTCGGGCGTGTACATATAAAGTGCAGGGAGCAAAAAAGCCCACCGTCTGTTTGACGGAAGGCCGGTCCTGCAGGTCCTGCGCATTTATGCACGATGAGGATAAGGAATCCAGCGAGGGTTCTGCCAAGCTCTGGCTTTTAATTAGTCAGTAAAGCTTGATAAATGGCTCACCTCTTGGGCTGTAGCTTCAAATCCTCAGACATCTGGAGGGAAACTGGAAGGGAAATGTTCTGCTCATTCCAAAGAGCCAGATGTGTGCCATCACGCGGAAGGAATGTCCAGATGCCGGACGTCTCCACCGCATTCCTCCAAGCGAGCCTTGCCCGCAGTCTTTTTGAAAGTCAGATGAAGAAATTTTTATTGAGGCTTACTCGGTGTGGTATAGAGCACTTTCTGCCACTTCAAATCCTTTAAAAGAGATAGGGGTATAAATAAATAAACTCAATTTATTATGAGACCAAGGAATTCTTTCTTTTTCAAATTGCAATTCTACATTTAAATTGACTTCATTACCTAGATGGAGTGTGTCAGAGTGTTAACCTGAGTGTGTGTGTGTGTGTGTGTGTGTGTGTGTGTGTGTGTGTTGGCTAGAGCAGGGATTTTAAAACAAGGCTACCGGTCATTGTTACCTGAAAATCTTTCTAGAAATATGGATCCCTGTTCCCAAACTGGACCTATGGAACTAAAGTCTCCAGTTTTGAAATTCAGAAATCAGTATTTTTTAAATGCACCCACTTGGTTCTGTCATCAGAGCACAGAGAGGCATTTGGGACCCAGAGAGTCAGGAACATATAAACTAATATTAACACTAATGGCCAACTTTCACTGACCACCTGCCGCGTCCCAGGGCACTGTTCTATGTATTTGACAGGCACCTGATTTAGCCTGGCCCAGCACGGTATCATGGAGATAGTATGGTACCTTCGTTTTAAAATTGAGGACATGGAAGCTGAATCACAATGTGGGTAAGTGGTGAGGCTGAACATCCAAGATCCTGGTCTAAAGGGTTGGTTCTTGTTAAATTACAAGCTCCTTGTTAAATTAGGGCCAAGGCAGACGTCATCCCCAGAACACTTCCCCTCAGCCCTGAAGTCTCCAGTTGATTAGAGCTGAATCGGGAGATTAATCTATCCTCTGATCTAGCCCAACCTGTTTGTCTTACAGATGAATAAACTTTGACCTAAAGAGAATAAGTGACTCTTCTGGGAACACCCAGATGAGAACTTAGATTTCCTGATTTTGTCAGAGTTCTTACAAAAGCACCACACTTCTGGTTTAGTAACTAAGCTCTCTCTGATTTAAACATTAAAAAGTCTCCTTGCCCTGGAAAGATAGCCACATTCAATGGTGTTCAATTAATTTCCTAAAAGTTCCAGCTTTAAGGATCTCTGCAACTAAAACCTTCCAGAATCCCAGAGTGCACCCTTACAGGGTCCTGGGTTTTGTTTGCTTGTTTGGGGGTCTAGATGAGAAATCTTTCCAAATTTATCTTAGAAGTCTGCTTTTCCGATCCCAGTTCCATGGGCATATATTTAGGGGTTTAGGGGGTAAAAAGTTTTAAAATGGTTACCTAATGGCATTTGAAGACTCCAGACACATGTTTCAACAGTTTTCCCTGAGGCTCCCAACTCACATGTTGCTTATTGCTAAACTTTGAGTTAGTATGACTGCTTGAGATTTAGACCTCAATCCGCCCACTGACATACTCTGGAAGCTTCCTTTCTCCATCCCACACACAAAATTTTGCTGTTGACATTATTACATAGCTTTCCTCAAACTCAGATTGCCAAGATTGGTGTGTGGGGCTCCTACTGTCTGCTAAGGTGGAGCTGTGAATCTGTATCTGTGAATCTGTTTTCACAATTTTCTCTCAGCCAGAAGTATACATTCAGGTTCAGATCACTGAGCTGGAAACTTCACACGTAAGACTTCTACTGAGATGTGTGCCAGTGTGTGCCCACAGGGTAGCTAAGGTGGAAAAGGCAGACAGACAGTTCAGTGACCTGGTTCCTGCTGTGTTCCCATGACAACGGCCAGATTTGCCATCATTTCTTCAAAGATTTGGTGACTTTTTCCCTCTCTCCCAAGCTCAGGATACCAAATTCTTATGTATTAGAGAAATAAAACCTCACACAATTGTGGGAAAGCTAGAGAAATAAGGCTCCGAAAGAGGGAGTCTTAACCAGAACTGCAGAGACACAGCACCAATGGACAAGTCAGTATTTGCCAGAGTTGCTGGACCAGGCACATCCATCTACGGATGTGGAGAAGCCTGTGGAAGGGAGTCCTGGCTCTCTGGTGACCAGCAGGATCAGCCATCAGGAAGATGAGCTAGACATGGAGTGAGGCAAAGGAAGGGCAAGGTAGGCCCCACTGGCAACTGTCTGACAGGCTCTCATTGAGGAGCAGAAAGAATAGTCTGGAACCCACTCATGTCTCTCACATTTGTCTCTCACCACATCTAACACAACCATCTTCAGAAAGTAATGGCTGCTTTCTTTCCACCTTTCAAACATCATGCAATCTTTCCTTGAGTGGCTCTAACTCACACCCACACACTGATTCTTGGGAACACATTTCCAGCTTAGCCAAGTTGACACAGTACAAAACCACGACAGTCCACCCCCTTTCAACGACACGTATACACCTTTTTAAATCATTTTTATTCCCAAGTAAGGATGATAGTAAAAGCATGTTTTCACCCAACATGGTGCAACTTTCATCACACAACCAAAGACCTACTAAGTCTCTCCCTAAAGTAGCATACAGAAGCCCATGTGTTACTTCATCCATCTTTGGATAGCCATGTCATGCAAAACCATTTCTAAACTAAGACTGAAGTTTTTCCTTCTCAGTAAACTGGTCATAAGAACTCCCAGTGATGCCATAAGTGGACACTTAGAGAAAGGATGCAATATAGCAGAACTAGGAGCCATGAGAATCTGAGACACTGCTTTGTAAAGCTTACATGTGTCTTTAGGACCTGCCTGAGCCTGATAGTGTACATCTTACTTCCACCTGATGATAGAAGGCTGTCAGAAAACCCTCAGTTCACAATGGGCAGTACAGATTCCAAGGTCAAGTGTTCAGTCTCTGCTCTATACAGACATAGGGACTCAGTCTCTATGGCCTTGTAACAAGTCAAAAGCTATTTTTCAAATGAATAGTTATCTACGGAATGGCATGGTTATGCTCCAAAATCCTAAAGACCTTCCCTCTGATTCATTTACAAAGGGCTGCCCAAGTCTCACTATAGCATCTATGTGTCAGAGACACATCAAGTGTCAGAAAATATCCTTTATCCCAAGGCCAAATTGTCAGTACAGCTTGCAAAGCCATCTACAGCAGAGCCTTCTTTTGTTATGGGACCCACTCACAGCTGGCAGGTTTTTGGGTCATTCAACAAATGATTCAGATGACATGACCAAATGAAGTGCATGCTGCCTTCAAGATCCATAAAGGCCTGCTAGATTTTGTGTCTTCTTAGCGGAGGAAGTGCTAGATGCAGAAACTTCTTTCGGCATGTTTTAGAGCATTGAACCCCTAGAAATTTTCACTGAGATAAAGGTTCCTAAATTTCTGTGGGATCTATTTCCACCCGCTGTTATACATACGTCTTATCAAAGTGTCTAGGTCAGTTTTCTCCAACTTACTTCTTGCTTACTAGGTCCAATCAGCATGATGTCATCAATGGTCATCAGTGTAGTAGCTCAGTATGATGTCTCATGGAATAGAGGGACAAGCAAGAGTCCTGTAGATTAGATTATGACAGAGGACTAGAGAAGAGTTAGTTCAGTGAAGGTACATTGCTAGCCCTGCCAGCTAAAGGCACACTGCTTCTGCTAACCTTTACTAACATGTACAGAGGGGAAGAGGCATCTGCAAGCTTAATAACTGCATGCCAGATGCTAGAGGATGTGAAAAATGTACATATCTGGATAAGCAACTGCAATCGAAGTCACCAACTGACTGAGTGTACAATGATCCACTGTTGGTTCCTAAAATCCATCTGTCTTCTGCACAGGCCAAATAGGCAAGTGAAATGGAAATACGGTAGGATTCTCTAACCCTGACTTTCAAGTCCTTGATAGCAGCACTAACCTCTGCAGTCCCTCCAGGAATGCCATAATGCTTCTGAGGCCATTCTAGAACCTGCGACTTGGCCTTTCCCACCAAAGTAGCCTTTAGTTCATTCCACGGGTCAAGGAAACAATGTGGGGGCTCTGCCAGTTGCTGAGTATGTCTATGTTCCAGTTATGCACCCCAGAACTGGGGATATAAGCATAGGATAGGTTCAGGGACACACTTGGCCCACTGTGAAATGGACCTGAAGCAAAACCCTATTAACCACTTGACCACAACAATCTGCTACTCTGGCTGATGGGCCATCGTAGCATTTTGAGTCCCTAGGAGGTAGTGTCATCTCACATCCAGTATACAACAATTCCCCCAAAGTCTCACTAGTTCCCCTTTCTTAATGACAGTCACCTGCAAAATGGTGGCACAACCCTCTGGAGAAGGCCAAGGAGATTTACAATATATACCCGTGGCTATGCTTTAGGGTCAGCCTCACTGAGGATGAGCAGTCACAGCTGTGCCTGTCCCTGCTCTGAGAGACCAGATGGTAGGCACACTCCCCATGCTAATGGACTCTGGCACAAACACGTCCTCTTACCCACCGAGGGCACCTTCCACTAGGTGCTGTTCAGCCTCTCCACCCCCGCAGGGCCCCTTCTTTGAGGAATCTAAGTATCTGCAGCTATCCAGAGAGAAAAAGGCTCTGCTCTGCTCCCCCCTTATGAGAACACAAGCCCCTAATGACATTCTTTGCATATAAATCTGTTTGCACCTTAGTAAAAAAGGCCCTATAAGTCAGGTATTATAAATCCCCCCCTGTATTCATTTCCTAGGCCTGTTGGAATTATCAGCAAACTAGGTGGCTTAAAATGACAGAAATTGGGGCACCCGGGTGGCTCAGTTGGTTAAGCGACTGCCTTCGGCTCAGGTCATGATCCTGGAGTCCCGGGGTTGAGTCCCGCGTCGGACTCCCTGCTCGGCGGGGAGTCTGCTTCTCCCTCTGATCCTCCCCCTCTCATGCTCTCTGTCTCCCATTCTCTCTCTCAGATAAATAAATAAAAAAATCTTTAAAAAAAAATGACAGAAATTTATTTTCTCATAGTCCTAGAGGTTAGAAGTTAGAAATCAAAGGATCAAGGACCCTTCCTTGTCTCTCCAGCCTCTCGTGACCCCAGGCATTCTCTGACTCATGGTGGCATCATGCCAATGCTCTCTCCATCTTCACATGACCCTCTCCTCTATGTGCACCTCTGCATACCCTCCCCTCTTTTTTTTTAATTATTTTATTGTTATGTTAATCACCATACATTACATCATTAGTTTTTGATGTACTGTTCCATGATTCATTGTTTGTGCATAACACCCAGTGCTCCATGCA